TATATATATATATATATATATATCGCCCCCAAATACCCTGGTACGGCCGAGAGTGGAAATAGTCCGCTCTCCCTCTCGAAATGCTCCAACATGGCCACGCATATATAGCCTCTGCCAAGGAAGTCCTACTCACTGCATTCTCGTGACACTACTGTTGTTTACGAAAATGAGAGGATGAAAAGCGAATGTCCGGCACTTTAACCGGGTTGGTGGATACGGAGAGTCCACCTAGGGGAGTTGGGAAACCCTGATTTCAAACCAATGGTGCACATGGGCTCCAGTATCCTGTGGGAACAAATGGCGTATGAATCAATCGTTGGTCACCGGCTTCCATGGAACTGGATCTCCTTATGATGCTCCACTGCCTTATGGATCAGACCTTCAGGTCGAAGGCTCGAGGAGTGGCTCCCTAAGAAAACCACCTGCTTCGGTTTGGGCACCCGTGCAGTATCACAGCCCTCACACATATCGAATGAGATTTGTGTGGTGGATATGTATTTGGTGCCTCATTGTACCAATATCTATGTGTTAAAATAAATAAGTATATATATATATATTTCAATAACAATCAATCATACGATTTACTTGAAGTCAGATCCCGGGCCATTAAAAGACAGTCAGGTTTACAATGATGGTTTAACATTGATTCATTCATGATCTCAATTAAAAAAACTCAACATTCTTCATAACCCCATATACTATTACATTGTTATTTTTAATCATATTACTCCTTTAGAAAAAAAATTGATGAGCAGTTATCAAGACTAAATGTGAAATTCATTTATTTGATTCTATAAACCTTTATTATTATTATTATTATTATTATTATTATTATTATTATTATTATTATTATTATTATTATTACTATACTATACTATTTTATCCATTCGAAAATTCAATTCAATCAATGAGTATTATTCATTTATATTCTCAAAGAGAAATATATTGATCGATTTTATATAATATTGATCAATAAAGGATAAAATTTGTTCAGTTTAAAAAAATTTTTTTTGGTATTATAAACTAAAATTTACATACAATAAACTAATTTAATGAATTATCGATTTATTTGAATAGATAATATGAACTATTTATTATGATTAAATAAATAAAAAAAGGGGGAATTTATTTGATTGGAAGGAAGGAAAGTTTATTGATTTTTGGAGCACATATATATATATATATATATGCATCTATAATATCCATATAGTTTGAAAGAACTTTTGAGCATCATCATCATTATGCACACGCCAGTAAACAAAATAAACCCAATCATGTTATTTTTATAATTTCAATTATATTTCATTTATAAAAAAGGAACCATAATAATTAATAACAAAAGAAATGTCAAATAATACTACAATTACAGATTATAGTAATTTGGTTGGTAGTTTTCGTGCATATATATGTCCAATAATTGCAATTATCGGTGTCATAGGAAATAGTTTTATTGTAATCATTTTTTTAAAAGAAAAACAATTATCAAGATTTTCAATTTATTCAATCTTTTTAGCTATTGCTAATATTATTACATTAATTATGAATACATTTATTGATGATTTTCTTGGACGTGGTCTATATTATGCAACAAATCATCAATTCTATTTTAAATTAGATACAATTTCAACATTTTGGTGTAAAAGTGTTGAATATATATCGAATACTATGTACTTTACATCATCTTATTTAATTGTGATTTTTTCAATTGATCGTCTATTAACTATTCATAAACCGATTAAATTCTATTCAATATATCATAAACATTGGGCTTTGATTGCATGTATTCTTGTATATTCAATGGGAATACTTAGTAATTCACCATTGTTATTTGTACAAACTTTAATGGTTGATACATCGAGTCGAACAAATTTTACTTGTAGAATGATTTCTGAACATCCAGTAGCAAAATTTACTATAACATTTGAAACAATCGTCACGTTCACAATACCATTTTGTCTTGTATTATTTTTAAATGTTTTCATTTGTATTGAATTATGGAAATTGAAAGTTAATCGAACAGCTTTATTACCGGCTGACTCTTCGCGGAATCGTATGGAAATGGGACGAGTTTTTGGACATTTAGCTTTGAGTACAGCATTCCTATTATTGTACCTACCGATGGTATGTTTTGTATTAATACGACTAAGTCTAACTTTATCACATGTGGATAGGCATAAACCGTACGCAATGTGTATTATTGATTTGTCCAGACTTTTCTCATCTGTTAAAGATATTACTTATGCAGTGAATTTCTTCCTGTACTTGATATTTTTGCGAAATTTTAGACATGGATTTCAACGTTCAATCTGCACAGTATCTTGTAAAAAGATGTCACCAAGACCATCGGATAGACCAGAGAATTGAAGATTGAATATACTTTAAAGTACTTTTTGACTAGTGAACAGATTCATATTTGTTTGATTTTTTTGGGGGGGGATTTAAACGTTATTATACCAAAAATATAGCTTGTTAACGTATTCGTATAACATTGATCTTTTTTTGTTAAACACTATTTTCTCGATTAAATAGTTATGCTGGTGAACTGGATTGACCAGAACTAAGTTAGGCGGATACAATTCAATCGCTCCACTATGTTTGTTAACTAATAATATTAGTAGTTAAATTATTTGATTTAAATAGATAAAGATCTCTACGTAAAATTATTCAAATAAGGTTTTTGTCCATCAATTTATGCGACGAATTTAAATTTAAAAAGCATAGGACTAAAATTTGCTTCTAATGAAGTTTTAGTAAGTTGGACCATAAATACGACAAAAAACGCGATGAGTTTTTATCTATTCTGGTCCTTGAATTCTGATGTAAAAAATTCAGTAGAAAAGAACTTCAAGTGAAGGATGACAACAGCAGTTGAGTAGGTTTGTAACAACATGGTTTTCAACATATATAACAATGATGAATAAGTCGATCTATGTATTTATAAAAGCCCGTAGAGTAAACCTACATATCCCAATAAAGCGATTGTCTCGTTTTATAATGATACATTGGAGTAATATATACACTTTAGAACCAATCATGACAGTTATATTTTTAGGAATTATGTATATATTTGTCTAGTTTAGCTATTTCGATGAAAAATACAAAAGTTTATCATAACAGATTCAATAAAAACATTGATTGTGTGTCAATAAACTTACTTAAAGTTTGTCATGTCGACAACTTTAGGAAACGTTCCTGTCTATCAAGTCTTTTCATGGAATAGCGATTTATTTTACGGTAAGACGTCCCTCCAGTATATGCGAAGATTTTCTTGTGCTAAACACATGAATATTCTACTTCAAACTATGCATTCATTGCGAAAATCCAAGTTACTACTCGACAGGTTATAATCATACAGGAATAATCAGTTCACGTTTTGTAAAACTCTGTAAAGCATACGTTTAGTAGACAAATACTGCATTTTCGAAAATCATGTTTAGTATTAGAAAAGCATTGATATTAAACGTCTACTTTTATGAGGCCAATCATATAAATGTTAGACCACCTTTGTTTATGTATCATAATTACTACTGGATATTTATGTCACTCAGGATGTTACGAAATAGTTTACAAGATCTTTTTGTTCTTTGTCAAGTATGAACTTTATTTAAATACTGATTACTGTTGTTTGGAGTCTACGTAATGTATGGGTGGCAGTGAAATCCAGAAAGTGAGTTTCGTCCTATTTGGATGAATGTACCTGCCTGTCAATGGTGATTTTAACAACCAAACTCGAAATCAATATTTTTCATTTCAAATGCCAATGTGGTATCCACTTGGTTCAGAAAACCACTAACTTTTTCAATATGTATGGATGAATAAATAAGACTTGTAATTTCTTGTTGCTGATATCCAGAACCGCAAATGACCGGTCTCTGTTGTCATATGTGAGTCCTGAAATGCAGACACATCCAGCTGACAATTACTAAATAAAATAAAATATGTATTCTTGATTTAACTGCAAAACACCTAGAAAAAACTTGTGACTAGACTTTATCGAGGCAATGGCAGTAGAAACTGGTCAACTGTAGTACTGATTTCCAACAAAGAGATGTCACAAAACCTATTAATTTGATGACTTTGGTTACATAAAATGTTCTGATGACAACTGACTTAATCTGCACTTTATTACACGGCAATCACACCCTGCTCTGAATGCTAAGATGTGAATATTAATGCTTCGTTATAAATAACTAATAAGCCTCAACATATCATGGTCACTTCATTAGTCTGTGAATTTTAATGAGTAGCTATTTCTTAACAATGTTTCATCTGATAGCTCCACTTCATCTTCTGTAGCATGGTTGACTCTATTAAATGAATCTTCTGACGATCCTCATTTGTATTAAACTTTGCGTAAGCATGACAAATGAAATACCATCCTATCCATAAAATGATCACATGGATATACTTATAAGCTGAAGAGACGGTTTGTTCAGACGGCCTGACCATAGCTATAGAAAGACAACAGTGCAATATCTCAGTTGTATTTTGTTCATGTTGAACAGGTCCACGTCAGCGTTTGTAAGAAATAGGACGAATAACATGAAGGTGTAGTAGTATCGATCTTACTAATAAACATTATTCACGTGTTAGATCATGTATCAATGTAAACATAATCCCCACGTTCTATTTAGTGAAATCCTTAACATTACAATAAATGATTCTTTTGAATGAAACAAAACCGATTGAGTTAGTTCGGCATAGTTTTTTGACTAAATGTTCTACTACGTACAATCTCCTTGAAGTGAAGTGAAGTCGAATTTGTGTTTGCCCATCTTATAAACACTTGCTCACCTTAGTTTGAGAAAAACTCACTATCACAGTAAAAAAAATCTCCATCACAACAAAAAACATATGCTTGACGTTACATTTGGATTACAATTGCGGGGGAATTATGAGATTATCTGGTGAACAGTGAACATTCTCATGTCATATTTAATATTTGATATTTTACCTCTTTTTTCAAATCAGTGACATAAATCGCACAGAAGAAATGTAACTGGTTATCAGAGATTGATTTTATTAGGGAAATATGATAAAACATCGATACAAAGAAAATTATACATAACATATCTCATAAAATTTATGTGATAGTCTGAACATGCACAAGACCAGTTCGTACAAAAAATGGTTGTCTCTGTAACACATTAGGTGTGGACGATCTCGACTGAGCATTATTGAAATAATTAGATAATTTACAAGTACCTTTTGAATGTTCGCGTTTTCGTGCAAGTTTTTTAGCTTGAATTACTTCTTCGTGTGTTTCATCATCTTCCCTATTGTTATTTTTTAAAAAAAGGTCGGAAAATAAACATTTTAAATTTTTTAAAAATAACACAACGAGAAAATCAGGAAAATTTCATTTCTACAAAGCCTGTTACTTTAGAAATACGTTGAAACACTTAGACGAACAGTCATACTAATATTTTTATTGTAGAAATCTATTGAGGCTTTTTATTGACATGTATCCCGATTTCGCTAATTGGAACGAATACTATTCTCGTGTAGCCTGAAAGTCTCAGGTGATGAATAGTTTAAAAAACAGGACAGAATGTATGTTCAAGGGCCCTTAGTTTTTAATGGTTGTTTTTCAAATACTTAATTTTCTCCTGGAATTTTATTGCGAACTATACACCCAAAAACAAGGACCAGTGACTAAAGATGTTGGGTAACACGCCTTGGAGTTAAATGTTTCTTTGCTGAGTCCTGAGTTGCAATGTTTAGTCAATTAATTTATCCCTAGTTTTTTAAAACCATACTCACCAATATTTAGTCTTTCTCACTATGCCATGATAATTTCAAATCTTACTCTATTCACCTAGGTAGTTTTATCCCACCGTAACTTGGGCTGGCGAACATTTTGATCATGATTGACAGAGAATTGAATCATCAAAAGAGTAGATTAACCTACGAGATGATTACATTTATTTTTGGTTTATAAAATTATCATCGTATAAAATGTAATTGATTTACAATAACATTTTATTCTATGAAAGATAAATATGTACCAATTACAGCACTAGTGTTTAAAGATGAAGAATTAAGATTGGATTTGAAACTGGGTGTTACACATTTTTAATATTCCATATATCTAACGGAATTATGTATAGTCAACACTTTAAAAAGAGATAAACTTTGGAAATCAGTCATTTTATACTTTTACATCATTTATCAGGTCTTGGAGTTAGCAGAGTGACATTATGTACAACAATTTTTGTTTCAAAATAAGCAAACAAATTTATGTATATAGCAATTAATGATGATGATATGATGAATGAAGAAACTCTCACTTGAGGAAAAAAATCAAAATAGCGTTAAAAATTGGTGCGAGGAATTAGGATTATGAGTTAGAGTTGTAAGCTAGAGTTCGGTATTGAAGTTAAAGTTGTCATTACGAACTGACACCAACGATAATGTCAAAATGTTATTTAGCCACACGGATGAATGTATTTCGTGCACAGATACACAAGTAGCCACCTAAATCTAATTGGTCCAGCTAGTGAATTAATTTTAAACTTGAAGCCAAAATATATTGGATATTACTGTCTCAAAATATTACAAGTGAACATATGTCTTAGCTGGGGTTAACTTCGATGAAGTCAACTTCTAGTCAGCAATTGACCACAGATAATGTGATATTTATTGCTTTCTAGAGTGTTTGAAACCTCTGAAATTATTTTATTTGGAAGATGAAGGCACATACACTTAGATAGTATAGAGAGAAACTTACCACCTAACTGATACACCATGTTGGTCTAATAGAGAAGATGCAGTTGACCAACTAGATCGCACAAGAGACGGGAAACCAAAAACTGGATCCATACATGCACGTAAATAACTTTTGGTGACGGGATCTTCGTAAAAATTTTGAAAAAAGGTCACATGAATTTTAGAACAATAGCAACAAACCTATTAAATCAAAATACAAATACTTTGTAGGTGGTACCAAAGAAGGCCTTTTTCGTTCCTCTTGTTCCGTATGTGTACGTCCCCATTTCCCAATAATGATATATCATGGCGAAGTACTTTTAATAGTCGTCCCATAAAACAGTTTGGAAAAAGTCTAGACTCTTGGTTAGTAGATGAAATATGAACTTACCGTATTTAGCATAAAGGAAGATGTTCATAAAGCTATTGGTTCCAGTAACTGTCAGTTACCATTAATGTGTAGGAAAAATGGAACCGGGAAATAAAGGATAAAGTTTTTAACCACGAAAGGAATGGAAGAGAGCATTTAACCGATAGATAGCCAAAGTTATTGCTCTTGGATTTAAAGTTGGAGGCTCAGTGGATTGGATGCGTTTCTCCCCCTCTAAATGCAAGTTGTTGCTTCAGGACTGGCTTGCATCAATACCTGAACTAAGGATAGAGAGTGAAATAGTCGAACGCGTCGACAACTTCACTTATCTTGAAAGTCTGACCAGCCCTAATGGGTTGGTGTCTGACGAAATCTCTGCACGGATTCAGAAAGCTCGTTTGGTTTCTGCCAAATTACATCACCTATGGCAAAGGCGAGGTATCCACTCTGGGATTTTCCCTGACAATTTCACCTAGCTGTTTTAATGGGGTGTAGCAGCTTGAAGTGATGTACATAAATACCAGGTTTCATGTTGCGTTTGACTAACGGACTGAGTATCACATCTTAATCTCCTAATTAGTTGAGGTGTTATAATTAATTGATCGATCAATTTCCTATTTCTTGTGTGAACAGTGTACATCCACACCGACTTAAGTAATGGTTTTGACTAAACAACTTTCATAAATTTCAACATTACAATCAAAGATAAATGGGTTTCACGGGACCCATTGAATGAAGTTGCAATAATAGGTGATCCACAAACAATTAGAAAACTTGTGAATATTGCCGACAAAAGTAAGTTTACCTAGCTTCAAATGGGATACTTAATTGCATTACTTTAAAACCAATAATCTTCTTTTTAAAGTTTATGGTAGTAAGGAAACTGAACTACTGTCGATTAATTGTCGACCCGAAATAATAAATAAGCTTAAAATTTAGAGAAAACACAACTGCATGTCAACATTGAGGTTGCTTCTAAACCATGTCGAACAAGATCCGAGTTATCCAACAGTTCACTAGCCATGTTATGGCGGCTTAACAAAAAAGTCAGATAATCGAACATACAGTTTACTGACGCGACCAATGTTTATATTTTAACTGAAAAGATTTAGAAATCAAGCAATCATAGTTCAGCTAAACCGAAAGCGATTATATAAAATGGACCTCAAGGTATAGTTTAATAAGCCGAAATATTAAATCTTGATAAGTCATTTCTTGTCAGTTAGTGAACGAACAAGAAATGAAGACGATAACATACGTCCATTGCAACAAATATAACAATCAATTGAAACAATTATAATTGACTAAATGTATTCTTGCTTGATAGGGAGTAAAATTTAAATATAACAAATCCGATCTTTAATATATAATATAAAAGATGAAAACTTACCACCTGGATAGCCAGAACCAAGACCAGTGCCTTCGGGTACACTCCCACGTTCTTCTTTAGGCCACATTTGAAGAACTCGATCCCGAGTAACCTGAATTCATTGAAAAATTATCTAGACTGAGGAAAAGCGCCTTTTTATTTCTGCGTTATAATTATTCACATAATGTCTAAATAACGAGTACCAATTTATTCTAAGCCAAATAAATAAGTAATTCGAGCAGTAGTAGATGAAAGTCAGATTTACAATATACAGAGGTACAGTCATATTTAAGCATAGGGCAACACTATAGAAACAGGTGTTTATTATCATATACGTGTTCACCATGTTTGGTCACAAGATTTCGTCTCCGGTTATAAGTTCCTAGTATGTGACGAATTTGGGTGAGCAGACTTTCAATATCTGTAAGTGATGTTAAGATATGACATGAACATTTTGAGGTCTCGAATTTTAATGGAAGGATTGATTGTTGTTCACTTGTTGATTCATTCAAGCATTAATAAAATGAAATGAGCAGATAAATTATTGAATATTTGTAGTCTGGTACAGACAGTGTCGGAGTGTAATAAGTGTCAAATAATAGAACTTGCGAGTCAGATTTAAGTCAGAGTTGTATAGATAGGCGTGGCATTTGTACGAACTGATGATTCTTTTGTACTTGATCACTCGGCTAATTTCGAATTCCAAAGACAATACGTTCGTTTGTGCTCCTCTAATTCTGTTTGGTTTAAATTTTTATTTTCTTAGTTATTTATTTGGACACATAAATATTGGTACAAGAGTGCGCCAAATATATATGCACCACACTTGGTTTATATTACACTGTTCCGAGAATTCCCAGTTCGTACAATAATTCGAATACTTTTAATTATCATAATTGGGCAAAATAACTTGACTTTTAATTTAATTACAGAATGACACATTTATACGCAAACTACTAATATTACAAAGTTTTTATGTAATGGATAGGATCGAAAAATAATTCATAGGAAACCAAAGTTGAAATGAATCCGTTCATACACAAGCACACACAGAACAATGAAAATTTTGTTATTCGAAAAAAATCAATACACTTACTTTTGCGAAGATACTAGCAGCACTCACAATTGGATAAATATCATCAGCTTTGCTTTCAACACGTATTTTTAATTGAGGAAAAAGATTTTGTAGTTTAGTTTGATAATGTTCAGCTTTCCCAACAGTATCAACGTAAACCTGATTGGTTGAAGTACATATACACATGAACAACATAAATCAATAGATTAATCGAGGAAAAACATGATTCTCTATCAGTAACTGTCTCTGCAAAGATTTGAAGAAACAGAAAATTTGAAAATCCCTTTAGGACGTTGCGAGAGCTTATCCTTATTTTCTAATAACATAGTAAGGCCTACGCAGAAGAAAAGCATATTGATTAAACAAATACACAAAGTATATTATACTGAGTACTGAAGAGAGTATACAAGTTTAAATAAGAAAGATTAGTTCAGCAAAGAGTTCTCTTTTCGGCGGATTCATTTTCAAAGCTGTACAATCGCAAATATATATACTTATTTTTACAGGATGATAATAATCCTGATAACAAACTTCTGTTAGACATGGTGACAGCGAGGTTAAATAAACAAAGATATTAAATTTTTTAAAACAAGGAAAATTTAATAATCGTTTGATTGTTAGTGGCTTAGGTATTCATCAAAAGATAGGGAAATTATAATTGGGAAAGAATGGCTCAGCATGATAAGATAAAATGTTGAAATTGAGACTAAATGTAATCAGAATGATCGTGAAAACAAAATGATCCAGTTGGGGGTAGAGGATGGAAGGTGAAGCAGATGGCTGTAAAGGAAGAAGAGTGTGAAAAAGAGAAAAAAAAGACATTAAGACCATGGTAGAAGAATAGGTTGTACCAGTGTCTCATACACATAATCCTGAGTTTTTCAAGATATATGGCTAATGTTTCCGCGATGCAAAGAAGATGCAGTCTAACTGTCTTTGAAAGACTCCTACTTACTTTGTAGATGACTTTGAACGCAGAGTCTGTCTTGATTAGTGACCTGTGTTCACAAGGTATTCGATTATTGAACTTCTTATTGAGCCGTTGCCTCCTCTTTCTAGCCACGCCGGACAATGTTCTTGAATTCTTTCGGATAAAGTGCGCATCGAACGACCTATATATCTAGCTCCACATGGGCAGGTAAATTGGTAAATGCACATTGAGTTGGTCAGATGCGATAATTTATCTTTAAGATTATTAGTGAACAATGGTCGACTGAAGAATACTATCCGCAATGTTGCTGCGAAGAATGTTATTTTTAAGGAATCATAAATTCTCCTCCTCAGGATATATATGGCTCTGTCACCCTTGAAGTCGATGTTCATGTATAAAGTTTTCTTTTCCACTGTAATTATTTGTGTTTTCGGAGTTCTCGGCCTCATGTTCTTATCAATGAATATCAAAAGATAACCGTTTTTGATAAGTATCTCCCTCAAGAGGCCAATTCTTCATCTATAACTTCGGGACTGCAGATTCGTCGTATTCTTGTGGCGAGTGTTATTATTAAGTTTCTTTTTCTACTGACTGGAACCTAGCTGTAGAAACTTGATAGTTGGCCATTCCACATGGGTTTCCTGTAGATAGATCTTCTTAGAGCACTATCTTGCTTTCTTGTCATTTCCACATCAAGAAAGTAAATATTTTGTTTGGTTTCAGCTTATCATTTGTGACAACAAATCTTACTTGAGTCATCTCCTAAAGACGTTTAATAATTGCCACCCAGTAATAAAATTCACACTAGAAGTTGAAAACAAACAAAACATTCACTTTATTGATGTGAAAACGACGGGAAAGCAAGATGGTACTCTGAGAAGACCTATCTGCAGGAAACCCATGTGGAATAGCCAACTATCAAGTTTCCACAGCTGGGTTCCCATCTTTTTTCATTTGACTTCACTGTCACCATGTCTAACAGAAGTTTATTGTCAGTATTATTATCATCCTGTAAAAATAAGTATATATATTTGCGATTGTACAGCTTCGAAAATGAATCCGCCGAGAAGAGAACTCTTCGCCGAACTAATCTTTCTTATTTAATGTCTTAATGGGTGTATCCCGTTTATTATACAAGTTCATTAGACTTTTAATACTTCACAAGTTAGCTATACAGAATGAAATGCAACTGAGTAAACACGTTAAGTTGATTATTTCAAAAATAGGTGAAACTAAATTTAAGCTGTTGGAAAACTTTTTTAATGCTCACATTAGAGATGGAATAGGTCTGTTCTTTAAAAGAGTAACCTAAGTTAAAATTTGCAAAAGTTTTTTTAAACTCTGCTTTACCTTTCTGAGTTTTAACCACCAGATAGTGTGATGACCTAGTCTGGAAGAAAAACGGGCACGCAAATCACCAAAAGATGTGGTAATAAAAATAGAAATAGTAAAATAAATATATTGTTGATGATAGTTATAATGTGAATTACATTTCTTACCTCAACCAAATTTACTCCACTGTCAAGAACTGATTGAATAAGTTGTATGGCCGAATCATGAGATATAGCATTTAAACTAGTTTTCGACCTGATAACAAAGAAAAACAATCTAAGTGACATAATTCAGTGCGACGTAAAACTATTTTGAAGATTTTATATGGTACATTGACAGCAGTTAAAAAAAAATATTAGCGAATGATTTTCGGCTTACTAGTTGCTGTATTACTATGGAAGATAGTTTATGAAGGCATACGGTAAGTATAAGTGTACTTTTTTTTTCATTTAGTCAACTTCCTATTGTTTTGTTGAAGTAATGTTACAACTTCAGTTGATGTATATTTACACAAAGTTTTATGTTGCTGATGGCCGAACACATGGGAGGTAATGAACTTTTAAAAGTGATCAGTTTGCATTCACCAATTTCTTCCCAGATCTTATTACTAAAATATTGAAAGACACATTACCTAGTGTTGAATCACAGATTACAGATCGTCTTTTGTGGATCACAATCGAGACAACCGACCTTTCGAACACGATTCAGACAAAATGAAACCAAATACTGATAACCGGATAATACACTCACTTATCTAGCATTTTCTCGGTAATGTATACAGGACTAATCACATGGACGACAGCTGATATCCAATCACATTTATTCAACATCTCTTTAAGAAGTTTGTCACGCTGATTTTCATTTAATGTCTTTGAATCTGAATTTCAGTGAAACAGAAAGAAAAGGTGGAATAGAATCATTAAAAATTCATACATACGCATGATACTAATCGGTGTTGATACATTACATATGAATACTTACCAGCAAGTCCAATAGTTTTTAGTTCATTCAACCGACTTATTGGTGACAAGGCACATGCATAAACCATAGGGCCTATACATTAATAGAAAGAGAAAAAGAAAGTATTCGACTTTAGTAAATATGATTACTTTTATAGTGAATGACTTAAGGATGAAATAATCCTCTTACTTACCAAGGACTGGACCTCTTCCAGCTTCATCGATCCCAAGCATACATTGGTTTGACTTAGTAGATGTTGTCAAAAGATCCAACAAGTCAAATTTGTAGTTTTTCTTGCAGTTAAGTGCTGCTTCGGACAAGCTTGTTTCATATCTAGCCACAGCTTTTGGTAAACTGCCAGATGCAGAATCATTACTATTCAGCAAAGGTTCATCACTAAATTCAGTGTCCGATGTCTCCTAAAATACAGACAGATGACTATTAGGAAAGCGAATACAGAATTATAATGAAGATGCTAACACAGAAGCAACTGGCCTTAAAGGTTCCGAAAATATTGTTTCCGAATATAACTTGGTAACCGAACTCACGTCCCATAACTTATTTCATCCACGTTTTAAGGCTGGTGACACTACACAGTTTTGCTCCATTGAAAGTGAAACGAAAATTTGAACTCGAGATATAATAGTTGCAATTCTAATGTCTTTACTACCATGAGAGTCATCCAGTAATGAATGTGTGTGATGGCTGTTAAATTACGAGTTTAAATGAGTGAAGAATAAGAGTTTGAATTACTAATATAAAATTGTTACAAGGCATCAACTATTGTTTCTACATTAATTATGGCTAAGAATAAGCCCACATTTTGCCACTGAAACGTTTGCATTCTGGCAGACTCGCCAAATATGTAACGGGTATATTATAACACGGTACAATACTAAATGTTAAAGTGAGAAGAGGGACTATCAAACACACAAGATTGTATGTGGAATTAATGGAAATTATACAAGGGACAATACATACAAATGTTCACAGTATCTGATTTCTCTACACAGACAGTGGGAGTCTATTAGCATTTAAAATAAACTCTCAAGCTTAATTTCTCATTCTCCAATTTCCCGGATATGGGGGAAATTATTATCACTTAAGTGATAAATTTTAAGGCTTCAATAGACAAAAAGTGCGACTGAAAGCTCCAAAATTCCCCTAGTCTGAATCTTTTCCCAAAGTATTCACATTATTTTGGTGAAACTTCCAAAACTTTCGGGGAAATGATGAAATTCTGGAGTGACAGAAGACTGACCAGCCTACCATTTTAATTAAGAACCATCACGATCGTGATGGTTCTTAACGTCCGAACACTAAGGAAAGAAGTGGGAATATACGATTCGAATACATAGCTATTTTATCGACATAGCCCCTCATTCTAAAAAGTAGCAGTGATCTTATTTCAATCACCGCGCACAAACTTAGTACGAATGAACGTTTCATATAGGACTGGTCGTCTGAAATTATAATCTTGGGAAGTCTAGAGACTAAATCGAATTTTTAACATCTTTAAATCCATGAGACGAACAATGATGTGAAAACACGGAAGAAAACTGAGTAAAATCTAAACACCATCGCGCAATCTTTCACAAGACCTTTAACGGCTTAAAGATCAGTCTTCAGTAATAAGGATAGGAGGTCGACCGACCTATATTAATCCTTTCAGTTTGCAGAACTGTGGAGGTCCATCCTCGTTTTGAATATACCAACAGAAGGTGTTGATATTATGTGTTCCGGTAGGGAATTCTATCAATTCACTACTCTGTGTGAGAAACGAAACTCCAGACGTAAATGATTTGATCTAAGTTTTTGAACTTTCTTCGAATGTCCTCTCAAATGATCAGTCCTAGACGGAAGTAAAAGATAAGACGTGTTAATACCAAGGTCATCGTTCTGTAGCGGTAAATAAATCCCCAAAATAAATAGCATTAAGTTTTCGACATTGGATGCTGACCATATGTTTTAGTGGACTCATCTAGCTGAAGGCGCTCGGTCAGGCATCCACACCAGATCACGTGTGGTAACGCCGTGCTCAACATCAACCGCAGTCGCCAGCCAGATTAGATCAGAGAATTCCGATATATTGGTCATCGCCAAATATACTCTTCCGATCTCCTCGACTCTGTCTTTTGATTTCTCTGGGTGAGAACGAAATACATTAGAAGGTGTTACTGGTAGAAGCGTTGTCAAACACTGAATACCTGTGACATAATCATTGGTGAAACCGACGTGATCTGGTACACCTTATTGCAACTGTGAGACTGTTCCTTTTTGGGATTTATATATATCATTGCCTTATTTTTTATTTTTTTTAAACATTGTGATTTTTTTTGTGCTTTTTCTTGGATACATATATTTTCCCCTCGTTCATTATCATACTTAATATTTCATCATGACTGAACAGACACCTAAAGTACTCAAGCTTAAGACTTTGTCCCCACCTTCGTTTCAACTGACGCCTTTCTGGCCCGACAACATCGAAGCCTGGTTTTGCTACCCAGAAGCCGACTTCTCCGAGCACGGCGTGATCGACACACGTGCACAATTCCTCGCAGTAGTCAAGGCACTACCGCGCGAATTCAACAGGTACGTAACACCTAGTATGTTTACTAGTGATGTTTCCGACCCTTACGAAATCTAAAAACGCTCGATTCTTAAGTGAGAAGACCTAACCGATCGACAAAGGTTAGATCAACTCTTCAATAACATCGACCTGCAACACGGTTCTGCGACAGACATGTTGCAACGGATGAGAGAGGTTATGGGCCTAAGAACTTTGGACGAAGGTCTATTCAAACAACTCTTCTTGTCAAAACTTCCCCAACAGGTGCAAACAGTTCTGGTCTCGTTCCAGAACAACGGCTTAGATGAGCTAGCTGCATCTGCCGACCGCATTTTAGAAATTGCGAAATCTACTACCGAGGTATTTTCAGTCAAAGAAAAGCCTCACACGACTCAGAATGATATAACCGACTTATGTCACACACTCACGCGTTATCTTAGTCTTCGTACCGACCGTAAGAGATCGCCCACACCACGTAGAAGCATTTCTCGTAAGCGATCTGTCTCTAGACCACGAGAGACGAATAACCCCGACTGGTGCTGGTATCATAACCAGTATGGAAAGTTTTCCAGAAATTGCAGAAAACCCTGCAATTTTCCCAACACGAAACCGACTGATTCGAAAAACAATTCGGGAAACTTCCAAGCTGGCACGCGTTAACGGCAACCGTAGCCGGCGAACATAGCCGTCTGTTATACCTCACAGATGTGACAACGAGAGTTCGCTACCTCGTCGATACTGGCGCAGAAGTTAGCGTTCTCCCAGCGAATCCCAACGATCGGCTTCAAGAATCGGCTCTAAACTTACAGGCGGCAAACGGAAAACCGATCGCTACGTATGGCAAAAGGTACGTTTACCTTAACGTGGGTTTAAGCGAACCCATCCACTGGATTTTCGTCATTGCAGATGTTTCTATGCCAATCATTGGTATGGACCTTCTACAACACCACAATCTGATATCGACACGCGCAAACGGAGGCTAGTAGACGGAAACACTAATTTGTCCGTTTGCGTAACTTCTTTTACTGGTTGTAGAGTATCCACAGTCACAGTTAAAGAAATGATAGACCCACTCTATCAACCACTACTCGTTAAGTACCCTGGGATACAACAAACTCAACCGAAACTACCGTGTGTAACCAGCAACGTTACACATCACATCACGACTACAGGACCACCTGTATTCTCTAAAGCACGACGACTAGCTCCTGAAAAGCTAAGGTTAGCGAAAAACGAATTCGATCACATGATGGACTTAGGAATCATTCGACCGTCAAGTAGCCCATATGCATCCCCGTTTGCACATGGTCCCTAAAAAAGACAGCAACGATTGGCGTCCAACTGGTGACTATCGGCGATTGAACGCGAAAACCATTCCAGATCGTTACCCGTTGCCTCACATTCACGATTTGACAGCTACCTTGAAAGGTACAACTGTCTTTTCGAAAATCGACTTGGTTAAAGCGTATAACCAAATCCCTATGGCTACTGACGACATACCGAAAACAGCCAACATAACTCCCTTCGGACTCTATGAATTTTTGCGAATGCCTTTCGGTCTAAGGAACGCTGCTCAAACATTCCAAAGATTCATAGACGACGTTTTCCGAGGTCTCAACTTCGTACACGCGTTGATGACTGTCTAATCGCAAGTCCGGACAGAGAAACACATCTCAAGTTTCTGGACCTTGTTTTCGAACGATTACAAAAACATGGCATTACTGTAAACGTTCAGAAATGCCAATTCGGAACCGACTCATTAGATTTTCTGGGACACACCATCGATGCTCAAGGTATCCGACCCCTTAGAACCAAAGTGGCGGCCATTCTGGATTACCCAGAACCGACCACCGTCAAGCAATTACGCACGTTTAACGACCTCGTAAGTTTCTATAGACGTTTCATACCGAAATGCGCATTACTTATGAAACCTCTAACCGACCAACTTCGTGGAAATGCGAAATCCATTAATTTGGACGACACCGCACGAAAAGCACTCTCCACAGTTAAGGAACTGATTGCTAAAGCAACAATGCTCGCACATCAGGACACCCGAGCACCCATTAGCATCGCAGTAGACGCATCCGACTCAGCAATCGGAGGAGTCTTACAACAATGGGTTAACAACTCCTGGCAACCCTTGGCATTTTTCTCTAGAAGGTTGCTAGACACCGAATCGAGGTACAGCACATTCGGTAGGGAACTCCTAGCTATGTATTGTGCTGTACGGCATTTCCAACACTACATCGAAGGTCGTGAACTCACTCTTTTCACGGACCATAAACCACTCACTTTCTCGTTAAGCTCTCCTTCTGACAAGTACTCTCCCCGTGAGTCTCGACAACTGGACTACATTTCGCAGTTTACTTCAGATATTCAACACATCTCTGGAGCAAACAATGTAGTTGCAGACGCTTTATCTCGTATAACTTCCTTGAACAGTTTCCAAGGAATCGACCTTCTTAAACTCGCCGAGCTTCAAAAAGAAGACAGTGATCTTCAGCACGAGTTATCGTCCACAACACTTAAACTACGCATCAAACAGATGGGAACAAGTAAGGAAACCTTACTTTGTGACACATCTACAGGTAGGGATCGCCCAATCGTGACAGGATATATTTATTAGTAAAATGTGCTTCAACAATTGGAAATTATTTCGGCTTCAAGTGTTAGTGCTAAATTAAAGAGGTGTGAAGAACTGTTTTGCTGGAATGGGAAAGTTTGAGAGGAATGTGGGTGGGGATAGGAGTGCGCCTGGTTTTATGACTATTGATTATTGGGTTTATGTATATTGTTTTGGAAAGGTGAGGGTGGATTTAGAAATAGTAGGGAGTAATGGGATGAGGTGGGTTTAAGTGTATTGACTGAGAGTATTGATAGCGAGCGTGTTGAGAGGTTAAGAGGGTAAGTGAGAGCGAGAGCTGCGAGCGGTCTATCTATATACCTTTAGAGGATTGTAAGTATTACACACACACACACACACACATATATCCTCTGCGAGAATATCTAGAGGGTTAGTGGGTGGTATTGAGAGAGAATGGATTAAGTATAGTATGTAAAGATAAATGTGGGAGTTGATAGTTCAGGGAATATAGGAGAGTATAGGGGTGTGTTATAAGAATTTAATAGTCAGATTTTTTGTTATGGTTTAGGGTTATATTTTTTTTTATGGTGAGATGGTGGTGATAAGGGTTATTTTTTTTAGATTTTGTGTAAATTGGGATGTTTTGAAGTGTGTTAGAAGATTAGAGGTTGTTATAAAGATAGAATGTTTGATGAATTATAAGAGGATTTTAATGTTATTTATAAGTAAATTTATATTATTATGATGGAGGAAGTGTTTAATGATGAAAAGATAAGATAATTATATGTTGCATTCTAATTATGTAATTTTTATAAATGGGAATGAGAATAGAGATGATAAAAGTTCGAATCAAGAATAAATAAAAGTCTAAGGGTCTTCACGTATATCTATGAATATATAGTCATTAATAGATACACGATTAGCATAACGTTAAGACTTTACAAATGCGAGTTGGTTAGTTATAATTATAAGGATTACGTAGTTCATTCGATAGACATCAAATAAGAAACGATTTTTACAGAAGAAACATAAAACACACACGATGATACTTCGACAGTGTCCGAAAATAAACTTAAAACGACGCATTCTGGAAGAAGGGTAAGATTTCCAGAACATTTA